GTGTGCTTAGCCTTTGCAACAACAGCAGCCGGGGCTTAATGGTCAAAAAAGGAGTGCTACCACTGTGCACGCAGAGTAATTCACAAGTGATCTGTGGTGAAGTGCTGCTCGGAAATATCTCAGCGCAGAGCACCTTGGAAACAAAAAGGCAATGATCAAATATTCCACTTTTAGAAAGCAGATGGGGAGAGACACAAGAAGGCCTTTGAGACATTAAAGTAACAAAAATAATGAAGCGAAGGAAAAGCTCTCATTTTGTGACAAAGGACGCTCAACAAAAGTCGGTAACTTTTCATTTCACTTTCAGCTCCAATTAGCTTTTTAACTGCTGAGTTACCGTCCTCACTCAAGCGGAAACTGTCGATAGAGAAAATTCAGAGGTTCGATACACAATCTTTACCTTTTAGCGTTTAAAAAAATATACAGCATTGTGTTCCTCCAGCAATGATGAGGGTCTGAACTCCTTAATATTTCATTTCTGCATCTGCTTTGTGGCGGCAAACACCGAAAGAAGGAGAAAATCCTATTTGTTTAGCTGTGAGACTGGAGGGACAGAAAAAGGTGGAAGAGACAGAGGGAGAGGGGAAGGAGAGGGTGAGTCAGACTGTAAACACTTGGTCGGGGTGATGTTATCCAGCTGCCATGAAAACTGATCCAGTGGCTGGCAAGTCTGTGTCGCAAACACACAAAAACAGACACGCACAAGATCAACACTGCTCTCTCTATAAAACACACAGCTGTACATTCGTGATGACACACACTGAACATGAACACATGTACTTGTATGCCGTAATATTAGCACAAATGCCAAAAGTCCAAAACTACAAGAGCTGAATGGAAGTGTGTGTTTACGGTAAAGTGGCAAGGCGACAAGCCAGGGGGTTACTGGATCAAGGCAAAATATTCAGTCCTTCAGCACACACACACACACACACACACACACACACACACACACACGGTGGCTAGTTACAGAAGCTTGAAATCAATCTTCCACGCCTCTAACTGAAGCAGTCGGGAATCTCTCCCAGCACATACACAAACACGTGTGCACACACTAACAAGAGCTCAGAAAACTGTCTACTTTGCCTGCTAAAGCTGCATCCCACCTAAAACAATCCCATTTGTAAAGATTTCAACAGGATGAGGGAGGTAATGAGCAGATTAACCAGGTTTAGCTGCTGTTCCAGTTGGAGCGTGTCCATTTTAACTGGTACAGAACCAGTACAGCCGCGACACAGAGGAGCTTGTGGACTGAAATGTAAACGAATTTTTTTTTTAAAAAGGGACAATTTAATAAGTAGTTCAGTTTAGTGTTGCATAAGTAAAACAAGTTGTTAATATACTAAATAAAAAGGAGCAGATACATTTCATGAGGGAAGTCTGAAAACAAAGAACAGCCCGGGTGACCAAGTGCCATTAAGAGCGACGCCACTAATGACTCAACGGATGAGTTCCTCCCCCTTATTTAAAATCTCTCTCCTAATTAGAGAGTGGAGTTAGTGGTTCTAGTGGAACCCTGCAGACAGGGTCAGGTGCTAATGCACAGCTGCTGCATTAAAGAAACACTTTGACATTGTAACAAAAAGGCTGGAAGAAAAGAACAATTCTCATATCTGCAAAAGTGTAACCAAGTTTTTTTTTTTTTTAGATATATGCAATAATATTGTTTTAATGATTGAGATTTCTATAGTATGAGGATTTATTTTTTTTTACCTTTGGAATATTCTAATTTTCTTCTTTTTACACTGAAACACCAAATTAAGCCAGAGGTGTTATAAGGAAGAGAATCATTAAATGCTAAATACAAATCTATAACTGGGTTTTGTTGTGCCAACAGTGCTGGTTGTATGACACAAGTCCCACCTCTCACAATCACAACAGGATGTGAAATAACGCTGAAAATTCTGGGAGGTGCAACGTGTCATACGTGCCATTCTTAGATCAAATTTAGGGGAAAAACACGAACACAAACAAATAAAAACAATAAAGGTAAATGGGAAAATGTTTGTGACTCTGACAAAGCAGAAAACTAAAGAAAAAGTGGTACAAACAGATGTCGAGTTAATAGCATGACTTTGCTTTTATATACAAGTAGTGCAGAAACAGCCATCCATCCATCCCTTTTCTATACACCGCTTAATCCTCACTAGAGTCACAGGGGGGCTGGAGTCTATCACAGCTGACTTGGGGCGAAGGCAGGGGACACCCTGGACAGGTCACCAGTCTATCACAGGGCTACACTTAGAGACAGACAACCAAGCACACTCACATTCACACCTACAGAAAATTTAGAATCACCAATTAACCTCAACATGATTTTGGATTGTGTGGGAGGAAGCCAGAGAACCTGGAAAGAACCCACGCTGCACGGGGAGAACATGCAAACTCCACGCAGAAAGATCCCGGGTGTCCTCACTGGGACGTGAACCGGTGACCTTCTTGCTGCGACAGTGCTAACCACCGATCCACCTTGCAGCTCATGACCAAAATTATCACTACTAATATTTTTGATCAATATTCAGATGATGATTATTGATCGCAGTTATTCAGGGATTTTATGAACAATATATTCCCATTGTGCTTTCACATTACAACCCACCGGTTTCATGTCGTGCTACATTCCTATACATGAAGACATGCCCGCAAAAAAGGGTCTTCTTTTAAATTTAATTCATCTCCATTGACACTGCAGTTTACCAGTGTTCCCTAAACAGCCCACATGCAGGCTTTGTAGACGCGAGCTAGGCGGCTGTGCACAGGGAAGGCTCTAGTCTCCTCTTACTGACTGTAGTGCAGCAACTGTTTGACCAAAAATGACTTTGAAAAGCGGGAAAGAGGACGTTCTAATGTCGAAGTTTGCCCAAGCTGGAAGCAAGTGATTTTATCTTCATGGGTTGTTTTCAATGTGTGAGCAGAGCACACATTTTCAACTTTAAATAATAATACAGTTGACCACGTTCATTCAACTGCGCGCAGCTAAAATCCAGACTGAGATTAATGCTATAAAAATAAAATCTGAATAATTAATACATTCATTGATAATATTCGATTTACTGTGCAGCCCTACACACTATTAAAATTTCAGTTTGCATCAAAGTGCTACATTTCACCCACGCATTCGGAGTTATTCAGTAACTCTCGCTCTCCATGAAATTAACCAGAAGCCATCCACACTTTCCTGAACACTGAGCAGCACAAAGCAGAAACATAAAGCTATGAAAGCTGCTGCTCCTGCCTTGTTGCAGACAAAGCCTCTCGCCTGCCCCACGTCTGCTGCAATGTGGCATCTTATCACCGTCATTACTAAAATTATGGCAGTATTACCTGGAAAAATAACTCCTCACCTATCTCGCTTCCACCCGAGGCCCCTCAACTGAACTCTCTGAAGATGTATGTTAACGCACCTCAAGACGTCCTCCACCTTAATTCAAAGAGCTAATATTGAGACACCAAGAAGCTACCACATTATGTTGTCAACTTACTGGAGTGAGTCCTTGAAATTAAACTGAATGGTACTTCAGCAAAGAAGAAAGAGACGGAGAAACGACAAAAGCGGGAAGGTGAAAGTGTTGAGTTAATGGGAGAACCGGTACAGAGTGTGACAGTGATGGGTGGCGGAGTCAGAGAGGCGCCGACAGCGAGAGACAAAGAAACAAAAGAGGAAGGAAAGTGGTGCCACCGCTAGCATCGCTGTGAGTTTGTTAAGAAAAATTCAACTGTGTCTTAAACAGCCTCTGATGTGTTCGCTGATGTCCGATTCTCATCCACCCACCTCAGTTCATCAGAGCCCAAAGCCACAGCAGAGGCTTAATTAGTCGAGAACCGTGGCTGCTGGTCCGATGAGGACCTGTGTTTCATCACGCTCTCATTTGCTCTGAAACACCATTAACCTTCTGGACTGGCTGCTGCTTTGATATCTCAGCTGTTTACAGCTCCCCTCCACTTTCTAAAAGTGTTATGTTTCAGGTGCTTGGCTGACTGCACGGACTAAATATAGGCTCGATGTAAGATTTCCCTGGAAAGGGACACACTCTAGGGGCAGGGGGTCGTGTGTGTCGCTACGTGTCTCTTTGTGGTTCCACATTTATGAGGACTAAACGTGTTCAGAAGGTGAGCAGGATGTGGAAAACACCACCGTTACATGGCACTCCATTTTATTTTTATTTTTTTAATTTTGGTTCAGAGTTAAAACTACAATGAAAATGTGTCTCAAATATGGTTGACAGTCACGTTAGGTATGTGGTGGTTAAGGAGATTGATCCTCTAAATGACAGCTCCAAGACATGTGGTTAAAGACAGACCGATTATGTGAAAGGCAAGTTAAAGCACCTAAACCCCCCAATCAGAACTAAATAATAGTAATGGTACCTTAATAACAGGAAAACCCTGGAGTCTAGAGGAGAAAGTGTACTTAGATTGAATGTATTTGAATCAATTCAGCTTGTGTAGACTAAATCCACATACAGTACAAGCAGCCACACAACCACTATCGCTGTTAACTCGAGTAGTTTGGTAGTATTTTGCACAAAATTGGAAATATATTCTGTAGTGAATAAGTTAGAACATGAAGTGTGGTCTCCAGACATAACCGTGTTCACAAGTCTCAAACTGTCTCACAGAATGTATTACAATATTCCAGTCATGCATCCTGCTTCGCTCCACCCATACTGAGGATATCACTCCTACTTTCCATAGAACTATAAATACAAATTGGTGATGACAGATATACAGCGTGGCTGTATGTTTAGGATTTGGTTTACAGGTTCATTTGAGCAGAGATGTTTGTGTGTGTGTGTGTGTGTGTGTGTGCTCCTGTACGTCTATCTTTGTGAGAACCAGTCCTCACCTCTATAAACAGCTGCTTCAGGGTCATGTTTGAGCTATGGCTTTTAGTAGGGATCGTTAAATTTAAGGCCTAAGAAATCAGTCAGTCAGAAGTATAGGAGCACAAACATGTTTTTGTGTGCGTGTCTGCATGTCTGGTTGGATGTGAGTTTTACCTGTGCCTTTGTTGCGGTCCACAAAGCAGTACTTCAGCTCGTATTCTTTCAGAATTTCATGGACTTCCTACAAAGAAAAAGAAGAATATTTAGTCAAAAGATCTCCAGAGTGGGTCCATAGACTCTAACCTTCTCTAACCTCAACAACTGCAAAAACTTCATATGAACTATAATGTCATCAAAATGGTTTATTTTTTAAATAAATGTACATCCTATTTATCTCACCTCATCCCTGACACAAGGATAAAGTCAAACATCACGAGGGGGCAAATCTACAGTCTGTAATAAAACAGGACCTGATCAACCTGCTACGCTTATCGTTGCATGTTTTTCATCCTGCAGGTGGCGATACAGTGGTTTTTCAACAAGATCAGAACAAGTCCCTACATTTTCAAAGTGCCTCATAGTCAATTTAATAAGATATATTTGGGGGATGATGATGGCAGATGGGATCTGGTGGTAAGTTCAATGAAAATCCCTAATTTAACAATGCAGTAGCCTCTGATAGGCTACAACACAAGGCTGGTATTTAAAAATCAAAGAACCAAGAAGACAGTTTGGATGAAGGCTTTGTCAGCATTAGCGCGAGACAAAATCATTTGACTGACGTGGAAGCATAAGGCAGAATCAGGAGCTTGAGTTTTGGCTAAGAAAAGGATCTATATGAACGTAATGGTAAAAAGTGGGCTCCCTATTATATGAAAAAATGGCTTTACTACATAGTGTAAGGTGGGCTGTTAGGTTAAAATCTAATAAATAAATCCGTTGATTCTCCACGCAGCAACAGCACAGCAGTGTTGTGCTTCAGAATCATGTGTAAGTGCTGTTTGTCCAGTAAGAAAAAAGACTGGAGCAAAGATGGTGGTCCATTACTGTCATGTCTGGGACTCTTGGATCTCAGCCAGCATTTGTGTCATTCTGCTACATAAAAAAAAAACTGAGGGGACAGATCTTGCCCACTTGTGGCATTTAGTGCATCTCAACTATCATCTGTTCAATAAGTTCTCCAAACTGTCAACAATAACGGCACTTTCTGTTTTCTTATTCGTGACTAATTACTGCTGGAGCAACATGTTTTCAGTAAATTAAAAAAAAAAAAATATCAATTTGCTAATTGATGGTGCATCAACTAATCTAGCAGTCCATTAACTGTTTTAGCACTAAATATTTCAGCCAAACACGAATGTACAATTAAACAAATTCTGTGAAAACAAGTCTGTCACAGCAGACAGTCACTATGACAACTTGAATTTAGATAAATCTTGTAAAATGGTTGTTTGCCAATCACACCGATGAAGCTTTGTTTTTATTTTACATTTGAGTAAACTTCTTCACAATAAACTCTTTGATGGGAGGCTTCCCCTAATTGCAGTAATTTGTTTCGAATGGGTAATTATGTTTTAGTTTTTTTTAAATGTAGTTTTAATGATTGACAAGCTTTTCGTCTGCTGTCAGACTTACAGGCACAACAGCACCGGCACACACTGCATATCAAAGTACTAAATCACATTCTTCTCTCCTGAAAACATCTATTTTTTTGTCTGTTTAGTGACAGTATATGATGAAGTGAAACAAAAAAAAACAAAAAAAAGGGAGCAAACAGGGAGATGCAATAGTGCAGCAAGAGATGCTCACACTCTCAGTGATGTTACGAACTCCACCGCTCGCTCCTAACCCCTCCGTTAGCCTCGGTGCCTTCCTGATGGATTTCACTGTTACAGAGCCACACACTGCACGAGTAAATGACAGCGCAAACTGTTGAGAGCTTGGCAACAAGTGTGTTTTTAGATATGCTCCTGTGATGTGAGCAACCTCGTGGATCCAGTTACTGTCAAACCTGTCCAAGAGCACAACAGCTCCAGATCGAACAGGAGCACAGTGTAGGCGAAAGCACTGAACAGTGAGCGAGAAAACAGAAAGAACAACGGCTCTAAAACAACCTGCGAGCTTCAGTGCAGAAATAAACGGTGTGGCTGTGAAAAGACTGCTTTAACGTGAAGCAAGTGTTGTATGCTGCAAGCAGAAAGATGCACAAGACTGTTTTGGACTATAATAATCTCACCCTTCTGACTGTTTTTTTTCATTATGTTCTGACCAAATGTCTTTCAAACGTTTGAAATACAGTAAATAAAGGTGATTTTCAAGAGTTAGCTTTAAACAAATACATGCGGTTTATACGAGGGTTTGAATAAGACTAACAGCAACAAAAGGAAAACAAAAGTGGCAACAGTCTTTTAAGAATCGATTAGCATTTGGGAGGACGCAGCTGTTTTGTATTGATGCTGATGCTGCCCATAGCGTGTGCTTTTGCTCACTGTCAGCTAATGGAGGCCATGTTTTGTGCGTCCATTCAAAGACGGAAACAAAGACATGAACTTTGTATTATTGCAATGCAGGTTCATACAGTGCTCACATGAGGGTGAAAGCAGGCTTGACATTCCTGGAAGGTCAGGTGGACGGATGCTTCACAGACTACATTTCCGTTTCCATTTATCGCATCGTTATGTGAAAAGCATTTTTGAAAAATAATACCTTGAGCCGTCACACAATGATGAAGGTGATCAGGTTTTTCTAATGCGCACATTGTTTTCCTTTTCCTATCCCTCCAACCAGCATCCAGCCCACTCATGTCCACAGAGCAGGCCTGTTCCATATCAGTGGACGCCATGCGAGGCAGCCCACACAGAGGGTCAGAGCGCTGCCCTCAAAATCAGTGCAGAGTGAGCAGTAATCGCTGAGAGCGAGAGAGAGAAATGCAGGAAAAAAAAAAAAAGGAAGAGCTGTTTTGCTTTGGATTTCAGCTCTACATTTATGCTTTTTCAACATCCATCTGTCCTGCTACAGACTAAAGAAGTTTATTGGAAATGGCAGCATTGATCTGACGGGAGAATAAAGATGAAACACCCCGAAACTAAAACAAAGTAAAGAACAAAATCTCCAATTTATCATCTCATTTCTGTTTGTATTTGAGTCCTAACCTTATTCTCCTAATAAGTGAAAAAAAATTAAAAAATCCCCGTGCAGAACAAATGCTTTGATCTGTTCCCAATCAATATCAGTTTCCAAGACGTAATACGGGAGGTTGCTGCACTGGAATCAAGAAAAATTAAACTTGATTTTAGAAAACACTTTGAACGAGCAGGCTGTGCTTTGAAAACCAGTGGAAATGCTCTGGCAGGTTTTTATCGCCTGTTAAGAAAACAAGACTGCACCGGGCTTTAAAAGCATCCATTACATTCAAAAATAACTTGGTAAACAAAGTTTAAAGGGTTTTCCCTGGTGTTATAATGCCAAGACACACGTGTAACATGAAAACAGAGGGCAGTAGACAATCAAACAACATGAAAAACGCATTAGGAATGAAACAGGATTAAACCATTTAGATCAAAGCCACTTAAATATGTGAGGATTTCAACAAAGTGATTTAAGCTGTTACTGCCAACCAAAGCTCCACTTCTTCTGTTGCAGCTGCTTATCCTTCATGTTTCTGTTTGCTTAATGCACTGTGTCTACTGTTGTAAATTTCTTGTTGTTTTCTTCTTTCCATCTGTCTCTGACCACAATGCATGTTTCTGGCAGAAAAGCTGAGCTCTTGTATTGACAAGAATTCTTCGTGAAGGTAATCGACTAAAAGAAAACCTAATTGCCTACGTGGATAATGAGGGAAGACGACAATCAGCAGAACACAAATAGTCATTAGAACTCAACTGAGGTGGTGTTTCTAAGCTTTTTTCACTCTTTACTGGACAGCACAGACGCTGCAGGACGCTTGGTGACACTGAGACGGGGTTAAATTACACCACTCGATGCCTTCCTCTCTCTGGATCTGTTTTTTTTTTTTTCGTGGCCCTCTGCTATTCTGTACTTAAATTGAGCTGAAAGTTTGTTTCTCACAGCACTGGCACATTACAAGGCATTTAAATACCATTTTTAGGCGCACAAACAATCCTGCCTCTCGTCTCTGCCATACAATTTACCAGCTGAGTACACCACGCTGGCTTTTTTTTTTTATGACATTCCAGTTTGTTTCACCCTATTTCCTTTTACATTCCATGTTTTAATGATCTCTTGCTTTCCACTACATCCAATCGTGCTGGTCTTTAATGTTGCACTTTGTTTCATTGACATGCACACTACATTATTTCAACAGCTTTCTAATTAACACTTCCCCAAGTGTTTCCATCCAGCCACTGCAGGGCTCAGTGAAGAGACAGACAGGTGAGCCTGTTTGCACCGGGCTGGCTGATATGAACTAAAATAAATGTATGTTTCAGTCTTACAGATGATTCACGATTTCATGCATAAAGTCAAGACAAACATGATTGAAAAACGGCTTTCTCTATTAAAACTATCTGCCTTTGCACGAGCAACTACGGTCAAAGAACGAAACCACTAACGAGCTTACAATCCTTTCACGTATTTCAAATGCTGTGAGGAAGCATCTGTGTGAAAATAATAAATGAGCAACACTGTCACTGTGCATTAATGCTCAACAATTAATTGACTTCAAATTGTGATTTGAGAAAGTGCAATTAGCAAATCACAAAGGCGTGATGCAGCACATCTGACCCAGGGTTTACCCGTCATGTCATGTGGGAATTTCATGCTATTCATGAAGTCCAATGTAGTAATGTTCAATCACGTGTCTAAAAGTCAACACTGAAGTAAAGCTTGACTTCAAAAATTTAAATAATAAATTATGTCACAGGCTGCAAGGTGGATCTGTGGTTAGCACTGTTGCCTCGCAGCTAGAAGGTCGCCGGTTCGCCTCCGGTGAGGACACCCGGGATCTTTCTGTTTGCATGTTCTCCCTGTGCAGCGTGGGTTCTCTCCAGATTCTCTGGCTTCCTCCCGCTGAGGTTAATTGGTGATTCTAAATTGTCCATAGGTGTGAATGTGAGTGTGCTTGGTTGTCTGTCTCTTAAGTGTAGCCCTGTGATAGACTGGTGACTTGTCCAGGGTGTCAGCTGGGATAGACTCCAGCCCCCCACGACCCTAGTGAGGATTAAGCAGTGTATAGATAATGGATGGATGGATGGATAGAAATTATGTCACAAAATCCTAATT